TTTAGCTTTAGCTTTTTGGTTATATTACAGCGGCCAGAAGACGACCCCAAACACTAACCTGGTAATTTTGTGGTAGGATATCGGCCTTTTATTTACCTAATATTATTTAGACATCCTTTCCGACTGATAGTACGTCTCCCTATACAAACCACGACTACATTTGTATAGCTTCTGTGAATACAGCGACATACAGGCCACCAGATAAGGTGGTGGAGCATCTCGAGCCTTCCCCCCGGATGGTCACCAATCCAAGTTCTAGCCGCGATCAGCGTTGCTTGACTTTTCATATCAAAGATATGAATATCAAGTCGCTAAGCCGCACTCGCCCCTAATATATGTTCTATCTGCTACTAAATGCCTTTTGAACAAAGACTGCTTTATACCTACTCGTAAAGAATGATCTATCAATATGTAGGAACTATGAATGAAAGACTAGTGTGGCAATAGGCAAGAAAAAATTTTTAATTAATGATATTAACTGACTGAATCACTATTGACGAATAATCTTAACTGTTTATATTATATGTTTATAATTTTTTACTCAGGCTTATTTTATATTGTTTTCGAGACTCAATATATTCTTGTTTTTAATTATTTTAATTAAACTACTGCATTTAAACATGATTGTCATCAAAATAACCGGATAAAAGGACACTTGTCCAGCACTATACGCCATACACCACGCCACGAGATGTCTTAATGGGGACGATGGGAATAGACAAAGACAACGCACGACAACCATAGAATGGAGTGGGGTCACTAAACAATGAGGACATTAACTCCGATTTAGCTACAAGTGCACCAATTACGAGTTTATCTGCAGAATTTATTTAACGGGTACCTATATTTGAGTGAAAGTAGTCAGTTTTATTTAAAATATCACAAATGAGTAAAATTATCGAAATGCTCAATATTGAGTGAAAATGTACTCAATCATTTCACTGAATGGATTCAGTCTGTACCTTTATTGCTTTCACTCACCCCGAGTTTTTTACAGTGTAGATGCAACCCGAATATTTATCTCCGATTTTTGTTTTCTGTTTATTTTTTATTATCTAAGAATAAAAATTACTTTAATCTTCGTCATCGACCTTCTCTGACTTTGATTCAAAAAGCAAACTTAATTTAGCCACAGGAACGAGGAATATTTCCCACAGGAAAAACAAGAACACGGGCGATATTAATTAAATTAATATGAATAAGAAATCTCGAAATTACCATTAGCTCCATTTCCGTTTCCTTTTGAACTCCTGATGAATTTGAGCATATCAAAGCTTAGATTTGGAAATTCCCCCTAATAACTAATAAGGCCTCTTTATCATCGTCTCCTCGTTTTGTTCAACGACTCGACGACGTTCACATGCAAAGCCCCAGATCTCGTCATATTATGTGCAGCGAACCATTCCTCCCATTTAATTCAGTTCCGCAGCATTTCAATAACTAGGTGCCGAGCAGGTACAAATAAGGAGCTATTAACATTGAAACCGGCATTTGGTTTGATAGATTAAACTCGTATTGAAGTCAAATTGTGCCGTACACGTTACGAAACGGCTTTCTGGATTTGTATGATTAAAATCGCGATCTTGCTAAATACTATTCATAAGTAAAACTGCCGGGACTGTAAGGTACGCTCGGGTAATTAATTATGCTCAAAAATAATGAGATGAATGCCTCGGAAAATTGTAGTGAAACAGAAGCGACGCAGGCAGCTGAGTGTATTGCGTGACATCATCATTAATGTGATTGGACGGATGAGTTTGCTGAACCCGTGAAGCCGGATAGATTTTTTGTCATTGGGTTGTTGGGAACGAGTAATTAATTTACAAATTGATTGTAATTGGTAAAAAAATTAATAAAAATAATGACAAATATTATTATTATTCTAAAGTAAAGGCTCTACTATTTATATTAATTTATTTTTTGAATAAAAACGACTTGCATTCACATCAGTTAGTTACCAATACTGTAGGTAGTACATAGATCGATCACTAAGCTATCGAACAATTCTCTATAACACAGCATTAAGCTTCATTCACAACAATTATAATTACAATTAGTACTTAGAATTAATATTAGACGTAGGGTGAAAATTAACGTTAAAGAGCTTATTTTGATCATTCAGAACGTCGAATTCTATCGAAAATTAATTTACCGTGAAGGTCGAATATTTCCTGTGGTTGGTAAATATTGAAGCTGGAATTATGAGCACCACCTGCGAGAAGCCCCCTAGCTTTTGGCGCCCAACACCACAGCAAGTGTACCCAATAACTGCGCTTTTCGTCTCGGCAACATTTTTTTATTGCGCAATAAAAATTTAAACAATACAAAATTTCATATAAACAAACATTCACCGTATTTGAGGTTAGGTGAATTGTCATTTACTCATTTGACTCATCTGTTGACATCAAGCGCGTACGCGCAGATATTTTTCAATTACAATTAGTGGCAAAAGCATGGACTTTGCAAGGTACTAATTCTAAGTGTAAGTGTAAGTATAAGTGGAAACGTTAATTTAAAGGTTGTGAACGATCATGTATTAAGTCACATACCAAACTTTTACCATTAATCCTAAGTACTAATTCTAATTGTAATTGACTGGTCCTAATAAAGTAGGATGTGCAAAACATCTTTATAAATAAATTGTCCTAGTGTCAAGCAAAAGCCGCTCGGGAATTCGCTCTTTTTACGTTAAATAGAGCTTATTTTTACAGTAATTACGCCTCTTCTTTTCCCAAGATAGAGTTTTTTTATAACGTTAATTGTTAATTAACTAACGTTGACTAATTAATGTTAACTTTTACTGCTGCTAGCGCATTTATTAGGTACATGAACTATTACTGTAAAACTTTTTGAAAATAAAAGTTTATCTCTTACTTTAATTGTCTCTAAAATCCTGGTCCGATACGTCCAATAGTTAATTAACAATTACGTTATAAAAAAAAACTATCTTGAGAACAAAGAGGCGTAGGTGATTTCTTTTCTTTTTTTTGACTGCTGTTAAAATAAACTCTATCTAATGCAAAAAGAGCGAATTCCCGAGCGGCATTTGCATGACCCTGGGACAATTTATTTTTAACGCTGTTTTGCATATCCTACTTTGTTAGTAGTAAAGAGAGCAACCTAATTTCAACTTTTTGAAATTTTTCTTGTTGGATACGTTTCTTTGGATCAATTAGAACCTATGTATATCTACGAATATTTGCTAATGTAAAAGCTGTACATCGGACTGTAATTTAATTTTTAAATTCCTCTATTTATTACACAGAGCTTTCGAATACGGACTGAAAACGATGCCCAGCCTACTATGCGCGTCTTACGATTTCGACTCTTCTGATTTAGCTAGTTTACATAAGTTGTGATATAATTACTTAGAAAACTACAATAGTAGTGTCATATCTTTATTCAGTATTCCAGACGTCTGGGCAATTAAACTTTTAAAACTAGGATGCAAAATACAGTGGAAGACATCTACATAAAAATGAATGTAGAGAATTTAGGGACCATTGCACTCCTAGAGTAAATAAACAAGACAACCCTCTCACTGTAATTTGGATATTAATATAAATCTCGTGAATTGATCCTTACTACTCTTATTCCAGACTGCTGCCCTCGCACCTCTCGTCCATTGCTTCCACACACAGCTAAGCCAACGCAATGCCAATTTTATACATCCCACACTACGGCGAAGCTCTTCATATGTACCTTTTTCTCGATTGCACGAGCACACAAAAAAGTGGTTTGTTCCTAAGACTAAACCTTTGTATTCTTATATATTTTGATGCGGCGAATCCAAATCCAGGACCAAAAATTGCTTCAGCACCCTCCGTTTTTTTTAATCGCCTCAAATATAGAAAATATGTAAAATTCTATTTTTCAAAACTAGAGAGTTCGACTTGATTACTTGCCGGAGAACCTCGAAGAATAGAGCGAAGATTAGGAACATCATGATATGAAGGAAATGGAGCGTCGATATCGAGGAAAGTGAGATGTTAATATGATGACAGACTTCTGTTGGATGAGTAAAAGGGAAAACGAGCCAAAAATACAGAAAAGGAAAAGAAATCCATTGTAGAGATCGTTTGTTTGTTTCTACAATTACACCTAATACTGATCACTCCCTAAGCGAGATTTTCCGTAGGTATTTTCAGTTTTTAGGGGCAATTTAAAAAAATGGAGGATGATGGAGCAATTCGGATTCAGTGTGCCAAAATACATAAGGACGAATCTTTGGAACCACTTTTCTTTTTATGTGTCTCTGTTATTAATAAGTAAAATTAAACTAATAGATTACGTGAGGATAGATTTTCCTGTCATGTAAAACTTATAAAAAAGGCCAAACTCATAAAAATGAGTCCATTTCTGGCCTTCGTTACATAAGAAAGACGTTCACACGGTGTTTACAATATACGATTCTTATATTTACCGATTTTCTGATCATCTGATGAAAGAAGAAAGTTCTCAATGCCAACCGCATTTTAAAGGCAAGCAAAAATTTTAATCAAGAATGCCTTTTTCTCGTAAAATGAAAAATAAAAATATTTTCCCTCTTTTCCATTCTAACCGTGGACATACTGTATACCCCATTAATACATATTCATAAATTAGGTCTATTCCAGATCTACAAACTATTTTCACATACAAATATTTAAGTGCCCGTTGCAAAAACAAAAACAATTGCCCGTTAACAGAAAATAAACAATATAATGTTAAATTATCTTCTACAAAAGTTTAAGAGCAGAAGTAGTCTATCCACATCAGAAATTATTGTTCATTCCGTTTCAGCTTTGCTTGAATCACACTAAATATTAGTTATATGTACTATATTTTCGAAAATTATAATTATTGCCTAAATTGTATTTAGAAAATAATTGGACTGGCTAAAGTTAAAGAAAATTTAATGCTTAATTTACTTCTTATTTTCAAAGTTTCAGTTCTGAAAACTGTCTCTATTTCAATACACTTTCGTCAATAGTTACATTGACCTTAGCTGCCTTTTTCAGGCTGGTACGAGGACAACTGGTTCGAGGCCAACTTAGAGAAGGAGGGTATCGACTGCACGGTGGAACAGATGCGCATCGCAGCCGAGGGCCACCTCACTACCGAGGCCCTCATGTGGAATCAGAACCTGAACGAGCGCACCATCTCCGGAATGACTTCGGAGGATTTCAGGCACCGGCTGAACGACGTACTTAGGCGCGAGGGCTACGACATTGATAACCAGCGATACCCAGAGGGCTATCAGGAGGCCCCGCTGGCCTACGACGCAGTGTGGTCAGTCGCATTGGGTAAGGAAATCTGTTTTTTTATGTTCTCTCCGAAAGTTGGAAAGTTGAAGGTTAGGGAAAATTGAATATAGATCTTTAGGTGCTGGGAGTGGTTTTATCTGTTTGTTACCAGGTGGAAGAAGTTTCATATATTTTTTTAAATATCTTGAAACAAATTATAATACTATTACTAAAAAATATTTTAGACATCATGATTTAAAATTCTCAAAGTTTATCGTCAAAATTTTTATCGCTTCGCTGTTATTTTTAACCAAGCTGTTCCCACAATAAAGAATGACCCTTTACACGAATAACTACTTATGCACTAGTACTAAAAATATGTTTTTACTTTGTCCCAATAACAACACTAACAACTGCTGTATCACTTCCCTTATACACTTGTTACTATAATAAATATATTATTAAGTAACCGGACGTCTTTGCAGAAGTGTTTCCTCCAAGGTTGAAATTATGGAGCAATTACTTTCCCCCGAGAGTCCCGTGTACCTAATCTAAAAAATTAATTTCATTCATTGACAACGGAAAATATTGCTGAATCTTAGCTCTAATCGAGCATCCCCTAATGAAAGTGTTGCTGTAACTTGGAAATAATCTGCCGTGAATAATTGCTTCCCATCGCGAGTAAAACAGGGAAAATAAGTAATCGCAAATAATTTGCAGTACCCTCGAGCGATCTTCCAACGGAGCAATATTAAAATTTCCAATAATTCTACTTCGAATAACATTTTCATTCTTCGATCTCTTTACGTCATTTTTTAATTTGGCTAATGTGATAAACTAATGTGATTATTGCATATCCCGTCGGAGACATTGAGATAGTTGAAGTTATTAGGAAGCAGAGGCAGTTTATTAATAATTCCATTTGTCAAATACTTAATATCAATTATTGATAACTATTACTATCAATTGAGCAGATGTTTTTATATTTGAAAACATATTTGGTGAAAGTGTAGGTAGGTTTCCTTTCTTGAAAACTTCATTTAATTCGGGAGAATATTAATTCTTTAGTAAAGTGTTATATTTGATACAAGTTTCAACAAAAAAAAGCATCATATTTTCCAGGGCAAATTATTGTTCCCAAATTGCTGCCTCCAAAATGTTAGGGTTTTTGCAAAGTAAAGAAATAATACACAGGACATTATCATTCTATTCTGTACGGTTGCGTATTTAGGGCGACGCTTTTTACTTGCCTAGGGTTGACTAACGTCTTTAGGTCGTCAACCTCCTAATGTTGCTTTCCTGATGGAGTTAATTTTTCGGAAATAAATACTGCATCACTTTTGTTTCTTTCCTTGAAGGAACGCCATAATGAAATGGATAAATAAACTTAACTTCACATCCAACATTGTTTCGTAGCGTAGCACCTTTACAACTATATGTAATAAATAGCAAATTTCGGGGTTCACAATAAAGAAGGAGGGTCAATAAGTTCGGTTTTTGTCCCAATTGGCAAAATAAAAAAAAATAGATAGATTTTAGCCCAAACGGACCCACCCCCCATGATCCACTGCCCTACATATCCCCCAATCACTGACTCACAAACTCTAGCATGATGCTAACAAATAAAATCTTTATCTCAAACAGAAGTTCAAGCTGTCAAAATCCGCCTAAACCACCGACAACAAACTCAAACTGTAGTTCAATCAAGTAAACCTAAGCTGTAGCTTGGACAGGGGAAATTTAAACTGAAGCTCAAACTTTAACAGAAGCTCTAGCTTGGTAAAACAAAGCTGACGCTCCATCAGGTAAACGCAAACTGAAGCTGGGACAGGGAAACTAAACTGGTATAGTTTGGTTCACCGCCAGTAGATTATTATAGCCGGTGCTGAGACTCCCCCCTCCACTTTCGACCTTGGGATGACCTTG